CCCAAATTCAAATTGTCATCTGGGCTAGCCCAATTGACAACTGGGCCGATTTTCATTTGGGGCACAACATATATATAATATTTATATTTCGAATATTTAAAAAAATACTATCACAAGTAATAATTTTTACAATGTTCAAAAAAATAATATTGTAAAAATTATTTATTAATATTTAGAAAAAGTACTAGCAAAAGCTAATGTTTAAAAAAATACTAGTAACTATATACTATATAATGTTTAATATTAATATATAAAATAGAATTTTTTTTTAAATATAATTTGGTTTAAAAAAAAAAAACATAGCGATATAAGTTTAAAAATCTTCATTAGATAATGAAGAGTCTTTACTTATTTCTAATATAAAATTCATCTTTTCTATCATTTCATTATCTCTATTATTATTAGAGATAAAAAATGAATTAATATTAGCTTACTGCAATGAGTTGTTTCTTGTATTTCTTGTTGCTTGGCTAACTTTTGAAATCATTTTAATATACTCCGTTATGTCATCACTCAGTTGTAAAAGATATCGAGTAATTAGATCCAATATATCTGTGCTTCTTTATGTGTATAGTTATGCATTTCAATACTATCATCTAGTTCCTCTTCATCTTGAGGTTCATCTGAATGATTTGTGAAATTTACAATATCTTGATCACTAAGAATTTCATTTCTGTCAGTAATATCTTTCTCATGATAATTAATAAAATCATTGATATTTATAGTATTTTATAAGTAAAGAGCATCTATATTTTGCTGTAGTTCACTTAATATATCATTATTATTAATATAAACTATAACATCATTATTTATAAAAGTATTCTCATTAGTAGTAACAGGAAGAATGTTAGTATGATAAAAACAATTATTAATCGTTGTAGAGGAAACATTATGCTAAGCATTTACAATAAAATTTGTAGAAGTAAGAATATCTAAATTATTTTGAGTATTTCCAGACTCATAATGATCTAGAAGCCATCTAACAAATATTGAATGGTAATGGTGCTTGAATAATATTATTATTCTAGCATCCATTGGCTGAATTCTAGAAGTTGTATGTAGAGGCAAAAAATGAATAGTTGTATTTTAAAGATTTATACTATTAATAACATGGCTTGGTGTATTATCTATTAGAAGAATTACTTTATGTTCTTCCATTTTTCAATCAAATGCTTTTAACCACTGTTGAAATATTACCCCTGTCATCCATGCTTTATTATTTGCTTTATATATTATACCAAGACTTCTTCAATTAACATTTTTGAAACATCGTGAATTTAAGTATCTTCCAATTACTAGTGGTTTAAGTTTATCACTTCCATCTGCATTTGCATATAAAGCAATTGTTAATCTTTTTTTATTTTTTTCCTACTACTTAGGCGAATTGTTGCCAGAGTAGTATCGGGTTTGAGTCTAAGATTTAAACAAAATAAATTTATATTAGCAACAAAACAAAACTAAATAAATAATAAAATTTAAAAAAAATAATTATAATAAACTGGTAAAATAATTTAGTTTCGTCCATATTGTATATATTTTGCAAATGATAATGCGCCAATATCTCTTTCAATACTGGAATAGCTACTGCAATGGCACTTTCATCAACAGAAGCATCTTTACTATGATATTTGATTTTTTTAATTCCATGTCATTTTTTAAATCTAGACAACTATCCTGTAGAAAATTTAAACTCATTATCTGGAATGTTAAGTATTTGTACAAATCTTTTCACTTTTTCTTTCAAGATTGAATCACTTAATATAATATGAGCTTGGTTTTGTAAAACCCATTCTTGTAATGAATTTTCTAGCTCAAGATGTCGAACTGCTCTTGAACATTTTTGTATAAAATTTTTTTCAAGTTTATTACTACTTCGTTTTAGTACTCTTCCAATTGTTGTACCATGAATCTCTAGACTGAATTGAGTTTTAACCCAATTAGCAATTTCAACATAGATAAGAGCAGGATTTTCATTTTTATGTTTGATAATTGCTAATTGCTAATTATTATTTAATATAGTTCTCTTAATTATTGTAGATATTTGATAAAATAGATTTGATAAAACTCCAATTTAAATAATTTTGCTCTTTTCAAAATGGTAGAACAATTATATTTTATGAATTCTACAAATTTTTAATGTATAGAATTTTGGAATTTATAGAATTCATAAAATTCAATTATTTTACTAATTTTAAAAATATGAATAATATCATATTTAATACAAGGAGTTTTATTTAAATAATATGCCAAAACAATACCGAGACTAGATTTTGTTTAATAAAATTTTCAGGTCTTACTTGATATTCATATCAATATAGCTTCTAAGTTTCTATCTTCGCAAATCAAAAAGGTGGCTAAGCAAGGATATGCAGAAATAATCTTGTTAGTTTTAGTAATACAGCAATTAATTCAAAATAGGTATGTGATTGAGCTAATTCTGTAATTACTATATAAAGTATGTATATAGCTTATTTTATAACTTAATTAATTGCCTTTTTTAATATTACCAATACAATATTTTTATTTTTAGAATTGGCGCCATGGGCAGGTTAGCATTTTATTGTCAAAGAATCAAGTTTCATGACTAAACTTTTTCAATTTGTATGTACAGAATTCTGCTATTTTGTAACTTTATAACAAAGCTAGCCCACTTTATACCAAAAATAATCTAGTCAGACTTGATTATAAACAATTAATTCTAAATTAGCGATGAGAATTTCTAATTGTTAACTATATAAATCATGTTAACAATTTAATTGTTAAAATGATTTATATATCAATTTATATATAAATCATTTTAACAATTTAATTGTTAACATAGAGGTGTGGTGACTTAGTGTAGTGGTCTAGTCATCACCCTCTCCAAGTGGCAGGTCTAGAGTTCAAATCCCACGGACAACAAATTTTGAAAAATAGCCTGTGCTACGGTTTACGGTTGTCAATTATCGGTTGGATCTAGAAATCTGTAATCTCGGTCA